ATGTTTAACGCTTATTTTCAATGAGTCCGCGACACAGTTACGCAGTGCTCGGGATAGTGCAGCTGATTTGAATAAATAAATAAATATATGATCCTTTTTTTTTTGGTTGAGGGAAAAGGGATCATACATTTATTTACTGACTGATACATATGGTTGACCAACGATAAAACGCTGATTAAAGAATTTGAAGATAGGAAACGTATTTCAAATCTACACAAAGCTGATGTAAGTTTCCCTGAACTCTGACTGCCAGCCATGCAATCCATAATTGCAAACTCATAAAACATTTACTTTATATATATATATATATATATATATATATATATATATATATATATATATATATAGGGAAAAAACAAGCCTACAAATGACAAAAATGACGTAAAGGACCAAAAATGACCCACAAGTTCAAAATAGCAAAAAACGACAAAAATGATGCAAAAACTTTACATATCTATCACCAACATGTACATAATAACCTACACCACCTACATGTATCGTAATAAAGATTCATTTACAAGTTAGCAAGTAAGCTACGTCTAGAATACACCAATGAAAATGTGTCATGTCATCAGAATATGAGCCCAAGGCATAGGTGTGTAATGAAACAAAATTGTTTGTTAGTTCAACTCCATTTAATGGGTTTTCACCACAGGATGGTAATGGGATCTTGAAACAATCCAGAATAAGAATAAATATTAAAGACATTATAAAGACTATCACATTTTGAACAAACAATTTTAATGTTAATGATCATAATAATAACGTAGGAAAAGAAAAATCCAGAAACATTATGACAAACATTAATCCCTAAAATAAAATATATTTCAAATATGCAGTAAAAAAAATATTAAAAATAAAGGTTAACCCTACACATTATTACTAAATTTTCTTGAGCATGTGTTCAAAATGACCATTATCTACAGATACACACCTGAAGGCATGTTTTAAAAACAATATTCAATGGACGCAGTCTTTCCAAGCTGTGGCACTTTCAAATAGAACAGAATAAGAACAGTCACAAAAGAATAGAAAGTAAAATCGCAATTACATCTCTTCATCCACTCATAGGTTCTCGACGTTTTCGAAAGACGTAGGAGTACGAGTATTCAGTGTATTATCCGCATTTTACCCCATCACAAATTTCTAGTTCCGCATTCCACACCACCACAAGTTTTGTGAAGATTTGAAATACGTTTCGTATCTTCGTATCTTCGAATAAGTCAACCAGCTTTTTTTCCCGAGACCACGTTAGCAGGGGGAGTGCTGCGTGACTGCAATATTCAAAACATCCGTTAAGCAAAAGTCGCAAAAAAATCAAAATCACTCCAAAAAATGTTTATCTAACATCCGAGAATTTTGTTCCAGCCCACACAGCAAAGCAGAGAATATGCATTCATTTGCATTTATACATAATTATGCTTAGCTGTTGTCAGGATCTGCGCCATGCCCTTCTCACGCTCGAGCGCCGCGCTGGCGGATATGTGTGGGCGCCCCTGCCCCCCGCCACACACAGACGTATCTATTCCAGGCAACGGCTGCTCGCCTGCGTGCGATCGTCTCACGGCACTTCGCAGAAATTCTTACATGTCCGATGATGCCACTCTGAGGCAACAGACTCAACGACTATTCAACCGCCACAAAGCTTCCAGAAGCTTCTGGAACATTAAAAATGCTAATCAGTGATTCGTCAATGTATCACCCGTCCCGTGAGCCGCGGCGCTCCGTTTTTTTTTTCTTTCTTTTTCTGTCCACTCCACAGTAATCCTGTGGAAGAATCCAGAAGGGGAATTTATTCTTTTTAAATTTTTATACATTTTACTGCTGCCTTGCGGCTTAAGCAGCTAGAGGCGGGGCTTTTTCTTACAGCTAATTTTACATCCTAGACCTAAAAGTTAACTTACTTGCTCTTTGGCATTACTAACTTCCACTAAGATCAGTTTTGTTATACTATATACTACATAAATTGTTATTTTATAGGTTGGTAAGTTTTCTTTTTCTACATTCACACATCATTCGTACTGTGTTGAATCATCATGATGAATTACATTCACACATCATTTATGGTCTGAGTTGAATACAGAACATACGTATCGCGCGCACTGCCTCAGATTCCGTAAAGTTGTGAAATTTCCCTTGCGAAGAGTCTTTTTATTTAATGATTATACAGAACATAAAGTAATTTATTTCGCGAACTCAGGTGTTACTTCCTGTACCGCAAGTTCAAGTCGAGTTCGGCACCAATACACACGTGAGTGCATGCCGCCTTGGACACCATAAGGTAGTCAAATTTCCCTCACGAAAGGTCTTTTGCTTAATGTTCACACTGAACATAAAGGAATTACTCGAAAAACTCGCTTTTTTTAAAAAGAATTTGGAGGCGGTTTTAAGAAAATGGCGTTTAAGTGCTACTGTTTATTCGAAATTTAAGCTTTTTAGCACTTTAACTGGAAAATACAATAATGTTTATAATTGGCTGGAAATGTACAAATTAACTACCCGAAATCTTTCAACAATTACAATTTGTGTAATTTTTGAAAAAATATACCACAAAATGAACATTACGTCATATTAAAAAGTGCGATGGGCACTATTCGTTGTAAAAGTTTGAAGACAAAAATTGGAGCCATTTTTGAGAAAATGGCGTTTGAATGTTTCTGAAAATGCGAAATTTTGAGCAAAGTTTCACAGAAAAGAGTTTTCTAGAATCTTTATGTGACATTATTTAAAGCACGTGTCTTCATATATATAATAATGGGAACAAATAGTCAATAATATTTGTTCTGATTTTGAATAACGCCGTGAGAGACAAGTCAAAAACATATTGTTTTATTCAAACTTGTAATGTTTGAATAATCAAAAGAATAGAGCAATATCGTTTATGTCATCTTATAAAGTAGATTTCGTTCTATCCGTACCAAAAGTTTAAAACCAAATTTGGAGTTGTTTTTGAGAAAATCTTGTTTTGTAATTTTTCTTAAATTGTACTTATTGCTTACAATATTGCACGAAAACTACTAAAATTTTCAAAAATATGTACAAAACCTTAATGAAAGAACTAATTATGGACAACAACTTTCATTTGAAGCAAAAATATCTACCTTTAATTTTGTAGTTGTAAGAAATTACTAAAAATATTCAAATTATTGAAATTTTGGAAAATTTAGAGTTAACCATCGCTTTCTGTAAAAACTAGCTCATACGTCCGCATTTTCAGAAACGCTCAAATGCCACTTTCTCAAAAACCTCTCCAATATTTTCTTCAAACATTTCGACGGTTAGTGCTAATTCCACTCTTTAGTACGAGATAAAGTTCATTTCGGTGTATTTTTTGTTCTTTATTTTAAATAACACTAATATAATTTTTTGATACACCTATCACGTCATAGATATACATTTTCAAAAAATTGTAAACTCTATTGTATTTGTGTGTTGAATTACTTAAAATGACTGCAAATGAAGTTTTTCGAAATATCAAAACTCTTTTGTGAAAAAGAGTATCAAATTTAGTATGTAGAGTTGCGCATAAACGCCAATTGGTTTACAAACGTCTCCAAATATTTCACAAAAAATTGCCATTTAGGACTAGTTTTTACTGTTCTTTAATAATCTTAAAATAATATCTACACCCTATAATTAGGAAACCGAAAAATTAAGAAAAAATGTGCACTTTGGGCGGCAATGGATGACAGCTGGCAAGAGTCCGAGTAGCTAGCCGAGAAAGTCTGTTCCATTCTGTAGCACCACTAGTTTTGAATGCTTAGCTGAACCTTCAGATGATTTAAGTAATAATATTCTTGAACCTTTACAACAACTTGTAATAACGTTTAGTGCAGACATGCAAATTTTAGTATACACAGGTTAGCTTACACATTGCAAAAATAAAACCAATAATCTTCTGAAAGCAAGATGTTTATCACACGTGCTTAACTATGTGCCTAAAGTTGCCACTTCTTCGGGTTTCACCCGGAGACTTTGGGTTTCGTGACCAATTTCCGGGCTCCGGGTTTACTACTTTTATCTCCAGGTCATGCACAATATTGAATGTACTACGCGTTCAAATGGTTCCGATTCTTAGATTTCAAGAATTTGCACGCATTTTCTGTATTTTCAATTTTTTATTTTTATTAATTGTGTTACCTAATGAGATCACTGTCCCTTTCAGTATTTTAATATTCTCAATTTGAAGAAACGTGAAGAGATTTTTGTTGACAAATTTGAGCAAGTTGCGAGATGCAAGATAATTTGTACGATGAAATACAAGTAGTATCAAAAACTCTTTCCAAAATAGAAATTCAAAACTACACGACACCCATTATATGGGTCAAATTTTTTTCTGCATCAGATTATTTCCCGTAAGTAATGCTTACGTAGAACGGATTTTCTCAATTATGGGAAGCATTTGGTCCGATTTGAGAAACAGGATGCGAGTCGAATTAGTCAAAGCAGAACTCTTTACAAAACTAAACTATGATATGTCTTGCGCCGAATTTCACAAATTCATAAACAATAAGAAGCAAGTAAGCTTACTAAAGAAAGTCGTTTCAAATGAGGAAGATACTTGGAATAAAAGTTAGTTTTAAAAAATAAATATTACAGAAAAGTAATTTAGAGATTCTATTTTTAATGTAATCATTTATGATTTGTTTTATATTTTGTTGACTATGGAAATGTAATTTATTTGATCGTTTCTAAACTAATAAATTAAAATTATGATTGTACAAGTAAAAAAATATGTGTAAATGTTAAATAAAACATACACTACCCCCTTCCGCTCATGAAAATCTTCGGGTGAGTATGTGTCAATACGTGGCAACTCTAAATGTGCCTTGTATAAACTGAACTATGATGTTTAAGGAGTTGTTCTGAAAATCTACAAGCATCATCGCTAAGAAAGGAATTGAAAGAGTTTCTTGAATATGTCGAGTTTGAATGGGTTGATTTTGTTAAACATGTTCCCACTAGGGATGCAAATCGCTGTTGATATTTTCAAAACATCGATGTTTAATAAAAACGACGATGATATTAGGTTTTGATTTTACATCGCAGAGTCCGCGGCTTGTGCTAGGGCTACCTGCGGCGATGTTTCACTCGCCGTAAAACATCACCGTATGGCGTATGCTATGCCGATCGAGCACTCCCGCGCAGGGATCTAATCTACTGTGTTGCCAGATGTGTTTAGAGCCAGAGAGATTCCGCCATGTTCGTTTCATTTTCCGCCGAAAATCCGCTGAATTGGTTTTAAATTTCCCGCTGAAATCCGCTAAACGTAAAATAAATTATTTTTCCATATTTAAATGTTGTATTATTTTATTCTATTAAAACAAAAATATGATTGCGAAATATGGTGGCTTTATTGAACCTGTAATTGAAATTTTAGATAGTATAGAATGCATTACTTGGGTGAAAGTTTGCAAAATCATAATTGATTTCAGGTAGTATATAATTTATTGTATAAGTATTATATTATTTATTCTTGCTAGTAACATGGATTTAGAAATTTTCAAAATCTGTGCAAGACAACTTATTAATAGAGGTTAACGAAAACTGATGCTTTACTAATTTTACTGCTTCACTAACTTTATTAATTCCCGCCGTTTATTCCGCTGTCCGCGAAACTCAGTTTTTTCCCCCGCCGTACGAGTTCAAAATCCGCTGAAAACGGCGGGAATTCCTCCGATATGGCAACACTGCTAATCTATTGTCCGCGCTTTTTCGATTGGGGTGTGTGCCGAACACAAAGGCTAATGGCAAATGGTTGTCATCCACAGGCATCCGAGTGTGATACACAGGGCCGGTTGTCGTGCACATTCTATAATACACTTCGCCAGACATTTGACGATATTGTATTCCAGGCGGCGTTGCACTGTGGCTCTTCCTCTGATCTACAATAGGGAGTTTGTGCCACCTCGAACGTTAAAGCAGTTTCAATCTTCTACTCATTCGCAGTTCAAGTTTCGCACCATTTTAGTGCATCTGCGCATGAGCAAAAGATCTATAGTGTTGACGCTAAGGCGTGTATAAACTCCCTAAATTATTCCATCTGGACGCTACGCAAGTGCAAGACCCGCCAAAATGTCAACAAAAAACACGATCATAATTTTCGTAAATTGTAAAAAGGGGAATTTTTAGTCATCCGCATGCCGCAATGCACGGAACGTGGAAGATGCGGAGAAAATTGTGGAAATGCGTTACCTCTTGCAACACTGGAAAGAATATATCTTCCTTACTCAATGGTTCTGTGTTCACTACCGTGTGGTTTGCGAGCCAGACCCTTGAAGGCAGCACTGGGAAAAGCGTAAACTGGCAGAGATATTTCATATGTACTTTAATGCCACCTGGTTGTAAACCAGTTCAAACAATGCCGAACAATTTTCTTGAATTTTAATGCGTTTATAACGTTCATCTGACATCTTACTCAGAAAAATCAAATGCGCTTCTAGTAGTTAATGTTCTGACTATTGTCAAGGCAATATCACGTTAATTCTCATGCGTGCAGATTGTAAATTTTTAGTGCATAATGAATAAACATACAAGAAGATGCTGTGTCTTGAATTGCAGAAATTCAAATTATAAAATTTTGTCAAAAACAAAGACTAAGCTTTTTAAATTCCCCCGGAATGTGAACAGGTGAGTGCATTATATTTAACCCATCGTCTTTTCTGCCGTTTGTTAACAATAGTATTTTTTAAGACAGTTTAAATTAAGTAATATATGTAATTATTGCACTATTTTTATATGAATGTTATGACACAGGTGCCGTGACTGGGTTTGTGCAGTTGGGGACCCAAGTGTTGCATCATGCACATGGGAGACATTAATTACACACGGTTATGTGTGCAAAGATCATTTCGAGGAAAAGTATGTAACAGCCATCCAAGGGATTACAGTGAACGCTGTTCCTACAATCTTTCCTCATTTACGAACTCCCCTCTCTGAGCCACAATTGCGGTTGTTCGATGAAAGTGTTCCAGTTCAAAAGAGTAAGCACTTAATTTTATTGTATGTTGTATTAATATTAAGAGCTTTTCCAATAGAAATTCTGCTCGACAGAAAGATGGAAAACTGATGAAATGGTTTGAAAAGTGGGAGAGGAGAGTACTGCATTGGAGCTGATTGTAAAAAGCAAATTAAGAGGTCAATCCTTATTTGACAGCACACTTGTTGAGACTGATGGAATCCCTCATTGTTGATAAGAAGACAAGGAAGATGATATTGTATGCTAATATACGGTTGTAAGTCTTCAGATGATGTTTAGGTTAAAAGCCAAATATGATAGTCGGTACTTGTTGAAGAACAGATTTTCTCAAGAAAATGAAAAGAAAAAATATTAATGAATTCAGTGACACTTTTTCTTCTTCTTCAAATTTTGTATCTATATGTGATTATAAGCTTTCAGATTTCATTTTTACTGTGTTCCTAAGCAGTTATTCTCTGCATTGTTGAGAAATGCGAAACCACCTTATACTGACATCCTGTTCATGATGTTATATATAGTCTTTAGGTAGCTGTCTAAGAAGAAAATTCTGAAATTTTGGGTGTAATTTGTTTTCCCCTTTTACATTTTATTTTTGTGTGCTTTCAGAGATCAAATAATCAAAATTTGTTGTATTTGTTTATAAATAATTGGCAAAAATGCCTTGGTTGCCTGTGTGCTTCAAAAAAAATTATTTTCTCAAAAACTTGAAACTTAGCAAGAAAAGCATTTAAAAGAGAATAAAACAGAACGTATGACCTAATACAAATTGAAAAACATTAAATTTCATTATTCTTTTATAGACAGCTACCTGAAATAGATTGAATATAACAAAATGTGTTTACTTTTCTTTGTAGGTGCACTTGGTTTTCAATATTATGAAAGAGATGGTTCAAATGTTAAAGATCCAACAATAAACCAGAATCCAATAATGCATAACATAGTGGTGGAAGCAGAAAGTATAATTAAATTAGAAGAGGTAAATTTTGAATTATTAAAGGAGGCGAAGGTTGGTTCACATGTTGAAGAACCAATAATGATTAAGAATCCAATAAAGGACGACATAGTGGTGGAAGCAGAGAGTATAATTAAATTAGAAGAGGTAAATTTTGACTTACTGCAATTTATCATTTGTAATATACCAAATTATTAAAATTTTTAATTTCATATGAGGTTGAATCACACATTTTCAATTGGAGTAGAGATGCAGCTTAGTCTGCAGTAAATAAATCTTATTTCAACACGCCCAATTCTACTTCATTTTGAATATAGATTTGAAACGTTTATTAACGCATTAAATGTGAATTTGTAGGAAGAGGTGCTGCTTGTTACTTTTCTTTCTTCTTGCCTGCAGGTCAAGGAAGAGCCAAATGACTATGTTGAATCTTCTTGGACTTTCCTAGTAAGTCTCTTTCCTTTGCGTGTCATTTTTTTCATGTTTATAGGTTTTGGCAACTGTAATTGGAAAATGTTAATAAAATAGTTACAAGGACAAAGAAATGTTCTTTCCCATTGTTAAGGAAACAGGTGAATATAGGAATTGTTAGGTTAAAAACAACAAAACTTAATGTTAACCCTTAAATGGAGTTTGGAGTCTTTTTCAATATCATTTTATTTGGCATTCGCAGACGAAAGTGTTATCTTAAAAGACACCACGATTCCAGTTGTGTTTATGCAGCCACTGTCAACGTTACCTGCACTGGTTAAGCTTCAGGTTCACAGATTCCATTTATGTATTATGGCTAGTAATGCTCGTGAATGTTTGTGAAAGCTGCAGTCATGAGTGACCAGTGCAACATCTTTTCTTGAGCACATTTTCATATGCCCTGAATACGAGACCAAATGTTAAAATACAACCTGAACTCACCAGGGGTAGTGCTAAAAGATGTGTATCAAATTTACTAAATTCTTGAAAGAAATCAACCTGAACAGCCACATATAATGTTTTCTTGAAATTATGTTTAGAGTAAAATTCTGCTGTAACTAATCAAGAACTGAACTCAACCTCTGAATACTGTACTGTAATAATTAAATCCAAAAATTTAATATAGGGATATGGTATTTGTTAGATGTTGAAAATGTACAGTATAATGTATTGCATATGTAATGAAATGAGGCCACTAATAACCCCAGTGGTTGAGGCAACCTAAAATAAACATATTATCTATCTATAATTCCGATCATGCCATTGATACAGAACCATAGTAAGACTCTGATGGCAGATAAGGCTCTGATTCAACAAGTGTGCTATTCCAAATCCAAAATAACTATCATTTGAGTATTTTCTAGTTTTGTTTTTTGGCTTAATAGTTATGGGGAAATTATATGAATTATCAAAACAAAATTCATTAATTGTAAGAATATAAATTTTAAAAAAGTAATCATTTGAAGAAATGTTCATGATTTTTAACATTAGTTCATTTTTCCTCTAAATTATAATAAATTGTTGGTAATTTTCTCATCTATTTAAATACTGATTAATTATTAATAATAAGTAAAATTTTGATCTTTGGATTGTACAATGGAAGCAGCATTCCATCATGCATTTCAGTGGAAATTTGTGAAATAAAAACTGCTCAGTTTGACAAAACGAAATGAATTTAAAAATGGACAACTATTATTACTGTGAAGGCTGGATTGGATACTGATGGAAAATAAATTAAAGACACTCTACTATAATTTCTCATATGAGTACATGAGTGTCCAAGATCATGAAAAGATTTACATAACTGAAATTTTGCAAATGTTTCATAATTAAAACAAAACCTGCAATTATATGAGCACCAATTTCATGTTCTAAATAATTTCTCATAATGAAACTACAAGCACTATAATAACTCCAAATGAAATACCAGTTTGAGAGTTCTAACTGTGTTTATCATTATTGTTCTCACAAATAATATATTTACCTTTTCAAATTTCCTTTCATGTACATTTTAATTTCGTATATTGTTATCCATTGTTCATGTTTTGTAACAATTTTTTTTATAGATTATGTTCACATACATATTTTTTTATTCTTCGTTTCAATTGCTAATTTCTTTTATCTTTCCTTTTGAAAGGTTTTTTAAAACTATAGACTTGTGTCAAAATTATTATTTTAACATAATTACAAAAATTAAGATTTATTTGTTACTATATTCAAGTTCTGTGGACAAGCTAGAATGACTGTCTACTTTGCAAATCGTATTTTCAGAATGACTGAAGCTCAACAAACACTGCATATTGAAGAACAACTTCCACATCAGTTATGCACATGCTTATTATATCATAGACTTGAATTCTCAAAGTTTATCTGAATGACCCATAATTCGTTTGCATTCTTCCACTTCTTTATTTCAGTAGTTTCATCAATCAACATGATCTTGAAAGTTTCAGCATCACTGTATTGATTACAATAATACTTCATTTCTCCTAGTGGATTTGAAGGCATAAATGCTTATTTCACATGCTGATAAATGTACATCCTGGATGTCTCAGTTTGCAACCATCTCATGATGAAAAGCACATGTTCTTTGGACAAGACTTATGATATCACAAATTCAGAGCTTCTAGAACCTAACTTCAAGTACTTTCTTGAAATGCACAGTCGTGCCACAAAGAACATAATAAACTTATTCAGCTCCTCACAAAGAACAGCAAGAAAACCTACCTTAATCAGTTTTTGAAATAGAATCTCTGAAATGAATTAATTTATATCCCTTGACTTGTTTATTTGTTCATCTAATTATTCTTTATATTTCCTTTCATTATTTGCTTTATTATCTATTACAACAAACTTAGAGTACAGACATGATCTGGGAAATTAATGTAACTATTACAAGTTGTTTGAAACCAATTTTGTTTTATGTTTCATGTATACATAACCCATTATATCGGGTATCTTAACTATTTAATAATTTATCTTAACTCGCCACCCATGTCTAGAATCACCACTTCTTGTTTTGGCAATTTGGCAATGCGTAAAATACCTTCAACATCCCTCTCACTTTTAGCAACCCCTGGCTGCGTGCCCTCAGACTTATGGCTAAGAGAATGTGGCTAATTTTAGCTGGAATAAAAGCACTTATTTTGTCCTTGTTACTCTTCAAAGTACTGCAGCCACTACTCTGTTTAGAGTAAACATCTATCACTTGGCAAAAGGTAGTCCTTTGAGCATTTACGTGAAGGCTGTTTTTTTTTATCATTTTAAGTAAATTATATTTTATTATTTTTTGTATATTATTTTTAATAATTACATATTTACTACTTATTTATATTTTATTAATATTTTAAATACTTTTTTTATTATTTTCTTATTTGTTTAATGTAATAATAATAATAGTAATAATAATAGTTATTTTGTTATAAATAATACAGAGCTTGGCAGTAGTCTTTCATGAGATGTCTTTCTTATTTCTCTCTGATGTGGGTTTTTAAAAATAACAATTATTGTTACATTGCTGTTAATAAATTGGTAAATCAGTCATAACTTCCCTCCACATCTTCAGTATTACAGTTCTCTTTCCTTGCTCCTACTGAGTAGAATCTCCTAAAGAGACATTCTGCTTGCCTGCTCATGCCTCTGTCATCCCCACCGCACCCACCCTACACAGCATGAAAAGATTCCAGCATGTGAGCTGCATTCCTACCTGCCTAAGCTTGTAAATGGGGAAAACGCATAAGCAGGAAATTTGCTGCAGCTTTTGACCTGATGTTTACCTCTTCCTTTGCTGTCTTGATGTGCCAGCCACGGCTGTCTTGAAAGATGGTAAAGACACATGGTTAGCAAATTTCGAAAACAAGAACCAGGGCTCCCAGACATGAATTGTGAGTTAAAATACAGACCCAGTATATGAAGGGATTGGAGAAAGAAAGTGCTTTGTAATAGCCAGAAGAAAAATGTTTTAATAAAGTTTAATGTGTCTTTACCATCTTAATCCTATATTCACTTCATGTGCTGCTTTCTACACATACACAAGTATGAATATATTTATAAAGTGTTTTAATTGCAATGTTTGTTTTTATTCTAAGATCTTTGTTATGGATTTATGAAATGAGTGTTGGCACTATATTCGCTTGTCCTTTTCATTAGTTTTCAGAAATTGTACATTCAGCTTGTAGTAAAGTAATGAATGAATAATTAAAAATGTGAATAGCATTAATTCTTCTTTTTAGGGTGAGGTGCAGCCACCAGTGCCACTGATGGAACCAAAGGAGGAGGTTGCAGAGGTTAAGCAGGAAGAAGAGGTGATGGTAACACTTCGTAATATTACATAAAAGATTGTACACTTTACACTTAGGTGCTGAATGAATTGAAATATGAAAAACACTGGAATGTTTAACTTTGGAATAGTTTTATTACTATGTTCTTATTCTTCTTCTTCTTTCGTTTGGGTCATCTAAGGGACACGCACAAATTTCATTGCTTCTTCCTTTGTCCTTCCTCTTCCTCCTCCAGTACCTTTCATCTTCTCGTTGTGTATCACTTTTCTCTCCTTGGACAATTTTGATCCTGTCTTTTTTCCTTCCTGCCCTGCAATCCTTCCATTTCTAACACTTTCTTCTTAAAAATCTCTCTTTCTGCTGCTTCTCTTTCACTTATATGTTTCTTTCTACTTCTTTAATCCAGGCTATTGTCGACTCTTGCTCCATAGGTAGTTAAAATCTGCTTAGTTAATCTGTTGTCGTCCATTCTATATAAATGTCCAAAAAATAGCAGTCGCGCACTTCCGTAATGTTTCGGTTATGTTCTCTATAATATGATAAATTTCTTCATTACTTCTTAATTTCCATACCTCTGTGTTTCTTATCGGACTGAGAATTCTGCGAATAATTCTTCTTTCTAGGACTTCAACTTTAATGTAATTTGTAGTTCAGTACTAAGCATTCACTTGCATAAAAACATTCTGGTTTTACTACTGTTTTGTAGTGATGTATTTTCAAGTTTTTAGATATTTTGTTAAGACTTTTTGTTGTAAATGTTTCTGGTTTGTTATGCCATATGCTCTCTCCATTTTGTGTACCTTTCTTCTACAGGCAAATTTTTCTAGTCCATTTTCTTGAATTATTTCTCCCAAATATTTGAATTTATTTACTCTTTACCTGTCCAATAACTGTTACTAGAAATTTCAGGAGCATTTTTTATATTTGTCATAATTTTGTTTTTTTCTATGGAAATTCGTAAACTTGATTTGTATTTCTGCATGTCTTACATTTTCGGAAAGATGGCAAAGTCATCTGCAAATGCTAGGCAGTAATTTCAATTCCTTTGTTTTTGCTCCAGTCTTATTGACAGATATCTTATGTTCTTTTAATTTCTGTTTCCATTCTCTTACTATTTCTCTCAGGACCACAGTTGAAGAGGGAGTGGAGACAAACCATCACTTGTTTACACCTGTTTTTATTTCGAATGGCTTAGATATTTCACCTGAACTTAACTTTCGACTTGGTATCTATGAGCGTTTCACGATTAAGGTTTGCCTAGCTTAGATTAATGCCAAATTCTAGGATTACTTGTCTAATGTTTCCGGTCAATTGATCAAAGGGCCTTTTTAAAATCTATAAATGTTACAACTATGTCTTAGAGTTTGTAAGTCTATGCTCGGATTATGGACTTTAGTTGAAAAATCTGTTCTGAGCACGATCTGCCTTTCTAAATCCACTCTGATATTCTCCCAAATGGTTTATCAAGTGTTCTTCCACCTTATTTAGTACTAATTGTTGAAAATATTTTGTAACCCACTGGCAACAGAGATATACCTCTGTAATTATTTATATCTTGCTTGTCACCTTTCTTATGCAAAGGATGGATAGAGCCACTTTCCAGTCTTCTGGAATCTTTTCAGTCTCCCAGATTTCCTGAAACATAAGCTGAAGGTTAGCCATAATTTTTGTTGAGCCATTTAAAGAGTTCCGCTGTAATAGAGCTTCTCCACTAGCTTTGGTTGTTTTTTAGGATATTAATTGCTTTTTTAATTCTTCACCGTAGGTGGTGGACTCTGTTCTGAGTTTCATGAAGGTTTGGAAATTCTAGCTTACAGTTCAGTTCGTCACACAGTTCAAGAGTTGTTCAAAGTACTTTTCTTAGCATTTCACAGTTCTGGGTATTACTCTAGACCTATTTTACCATTTTCATTCTGAAGCAAATACTTGGTGCCTGGAAGCCCTTTAAGTGGTTTTTAAACGCCTGATAGAAATTTCGAGAGTATTCTTAACAAAATTGTTTTTGTATGTCAAGAAGTTGTGACTTTTTGAAGATCGTTTAAGCAGCATTGTTTACTACCCTTTATTTCTTTGCTGTCGTTTCCTTTGGCAATTTAAATGATCAACGGTGTTATCCTCCAGAGATTTCCATTTTTTCCATTGTTTCGTTCTTTCCTGCAACTGCTTCTTCACAAGTCTCATTCCACCAGATTTTTTTCTTCATTTTTATTTACCCCAAATATGCTCTTTGCTGCCTCCGTTGATTTCTGTAGATAATTCTTCCAACTTCCCTATTAGCTTATTTAATTTCTTTATTGAAAATTCTTTATTGCTTCTTTTGTGATGTTGAGCCTATCTGTGTTATACTTGATCAATTTTCGCTGGTACTTTTGTTTTTGCGGCGGGAGATAGTTTAGCTATATATATATTCTAAGGTAATAAGAGTCAAATTCCCTGTTTCTTGTTACTTTTACATTCCATTGATCATCTTTTAATATTTCTTTGAGAAATAGCCAGGTGATCTAACTGACACTCCCAGCAGTCAGGATTGGGAGATATCAAGTTATTTGCTTGTTTTGCGTAATTTCTTGAAGGACATTGACATTAATTTTCAGATTGAAAAGTTTTACAAGATTAATTAATCTTGACCGCATTTTTTATTGTTCTTGTTATGGCTGGATATTCTCCTACTAGTTTTTTCCGAAAAGGCTTTTTCCTTCCCTATTGTGCGTTAAAATCCCCACGTACTATACAACATTTAATTTTGAGATTTTTGATATTCGACTTCCAGAAGCTCCCAGAACGTACTTACTTTACTCGGATTTCTTATCTCTCATAATGGGCATGGCAATTAACAAATGTATACTGTGCTTTGTTTTCATTATAACTGTTAAAAGAAGACATTCTTTCTACTTGGATTTAAATTCAGTAAGTATTATTCTACTAATGTTTTTATGAATAATTAGAACAAGCCGGGTCACCCGGTGACCAGTATTGGCATGCCTTTCATATTTTATTGCTGGTTTACCCTTTAAAAATTCTGTGGTGGTTTGGGTTTCTGTAACATTTTGCAAGAATCGAAGTTTCTTTGCAATGTAAAATTTGGTATTTCATGCTATATCTAAGAGATTTCAGTTTCTTTCTGTTTACCAGTTTTTAGGTAATGAGTTACATCCAGGTGCGGGCGAAGAATTTCTTTTAAATTGAGTTTGAAGGATTCCAAGGGACGCTACTGCAGAGTGTTGGGACTCCCAGAACTTAAGGTCCCGACTGCATTGCATACTGCAATGGTGGAATTCCTCTGCCCAGCTACACTGGGGTAGTGCTTACTATTGGGGGACTTTCTCATTCATCGCAATTGAAATTTCATTGTACATGGGAGGAAGTAAATTCCAAGATAAGATCGAGATTGTTGTCCAAAATGAATTACTTTCTTCATGTTTTCCTCCATTAGGTTCTTCTGCTCTCTCTGCCTTTGGGAGTAAAGATTCTCTTCTCGCCTTTGAACCGTGTGACCCGGTGTTTCACCCCTGTAACCCTATGGAGGGGCCCCTCACAAAAGGGTGCTACCCCCCGGAGCCAGATGAACGCAGTTTTCTTTATGACGGTGTTATACTCTCCTCCTCTCCTCATCACTTGTGAGATGAGGCCCTGGGCTTGGGACCCCGGCATTGCGGAGTTGCTGCATGCATCCTCTTTTACCTGGCTCGAGCTATCATTATCGGCGAGTGGAATGCCATGTAACATTTTTGATTGGGATCAGCATTAGCCCCGAGTCGATTTTTATTTCACCGGGGGTTGTTAGCCCCTTGGAGGGTATGGATGTAAAATTGATGATAATGAGGGGGTTAAGGACGTAAACACTCATACACTACACAAATACACCATGCCGCAAGCGTGGACTTCGAAAAACCGGGCGATTTCTGGTCCGAAAATCAATAACGGCACTACTCCTTAGTGAATCTCGGCCATCTGATCGGCGGAGGTCCTTGATTATTATTATTATTATTATTATATTTATTATTATCTTATTATTTTTATCATTTTATTATTATTATTTTATTTTTCCCTTTCCTTCAAATACTTTTTACTTTCTCGTACACGTACATATATATGGAGTAATATATGTAGTATATAATTTATGTTTTCCCATGGAAAATTGATTTTGATATTTCAACGGAAATACAAATTTTGGGGTCTTTTGATACCAAAAAAGTTTCCCCTCCTCCCTTCAAAACTTGTCTCTGGTGTATGTGAAAAACAGTAGTGCCTAAACTATGTGTAAGATTTTTCCAAACTGAAAAAACCCCTGTTGATCTGGCTTGTGTCGAAATTCAGCGATTTTGAAAAACATTCTTTAAAATTGGCCTGAACATTCTTTAAAATTGGCAACTTTACATGAAACCCCTGTGACTTTTTCAATTTTTTTTCAAAAATGGCTCAAAATATTTTCTTTAAATTTATTGTAAGAGTGAAATGCAACTATATAGGTAGCATAGATCTGATTTTTACGTATTTAAGTAATTTACATGCATCAGTATTTATATCTGATATAACCTGAAACAGTGCTTACATTATTATTACAATTATTTTATTTAACATATCACAATATTTCATATTATATTTATTCACAATCATAACATGGATGAACTGAAGGAAAAGTACGATAAAGGTTACATCGATCACTGAGGTCCATAGCCTGCTTTGCAGGAGAGATGATCGTAAGCCCTTTCAAAAACTTGAATATTAGGTGCAGTCACTTCACACTGAGGTAGTAAGTTCCAAGTATTGACAACTCTGTTTCCCAGAAAATTCTTGCGTTGTATTAGATTATGCCTAGATTTCGTAAGTTTCATATGATGACCTCTTAATTGTGGATTTTCAGATTGCTGGAAGATGCTGCTAAGGTCGAGGTTGTAATATCAGGCAGTTTCTTCATGGTTTCAATTACATCAATATATTGTCTTATGGCAGCAAGAGTCAGAAGCTCACGTATCATTAGTTGCTGTTCGTAAGTCATGGTTTTGAGGTCTGTTGGGATACGTGTGGCTCTTCTTTGTACATTTTCCAATAGGTTTATATTTTTAAAGAGATAAGGATTCCACACAATTAGATCTTGTATAGTGAGATAAATACATCACTTCTTATAGTGTTGTAAGCTTTATGAAGTTTGAATATAACCTTGTTGGCCCTTTTTGCAAAGTAACTTGGGTGATTTTCCCACCTGAGATTTTCGGTGATCCCTAAACCCTTCATGACTTCAGTTTCAGCCAGATTCCTTCTGTCTATTTGGTTATTTCGTTTAGGTTTGGATCTTCCTATATGCATGGCCACATGTTTTGATTCATTCAAAGGTAACACCCAAGATCTCAACCACTCACAAAAGCTGTTTAAGACATCTTGAAGTTGTCGATGATTCATCAGTGAGTTGGAACAGAATTTAGTATCGTCTGCACACATTGAAGTGAGAATGCATACTGTCAGGCAGTCACTAGAATACAATATGAATAAAATTGGTCCCAATACTGAACCCTGGGGAACTCTGCTGGTAATTCTCTTTAGTGATGACTTTGTTTTCTCCAATTTGCACACAAAAAGGACAATCCTCAAGTAAGGACTGAATCCAACCCAAAATCATACTTCTTATGCCAAGTGGGCAAGTTTGTGGAGCAACATCTGATGTGGCATCTTGTCAAAAGCTTTGGAAAAGTCCAAGTAAGTAATATCTGTAGGGTTGCCATTGTCGATCTGCTGGCCAGTTTTCAAGTGAGGATAGTAAATTCATCATTATAGATCTTCCTGGTACAAAGCTGTGTTGGTGGGGAGATATGCATCCAGTTCTCAAAGTAAATCTGGTATCTCTCGCTCCAGAATCCTCTTGAGGACCTTGTATGGAGCTGGTCAAGCTAATAGGCCTATAGTTAATAGGATCCAATTTACTACCTTTCTTAATGACTGGTGGTATATGAGCTATTTTCCAGTCCAATGAAAGAATTCCAGAATTGATAGAGACTCAAAAGATTTCAAATAGAGCTGGAGTTAATTCTTCTCCACATTCTTTAAGTACTAGTGGGCCAGTGGAGAAGTTGGGATCGAGAAATACGAGGACATAGTAGACACCTTCAACATATATATATATCTTCCAATGTTTCCTCAGAGAGAGGTGAGGATAATGGTGTGGGAGGACAATTCTGTTCCAATGTGTGAGAGTTTTGAAAATATACTGCAAAGATTTTAGTGATAAATTTCACAGTTAACTCTGAATTGTCAAAAATTGCAGAAGTCTGACTATTTTTCAAGCATCTTCCTACATCTTCAAATTTCAAGATAGAGAGTTTTCCTTCAATTGAAATTTGTTGTCCATTAGTTCTTTCATTAAGGTCATGTACAATTTTTTGAAAATTGTAGTAGTTTTTGCATAATGTTCCAAATTTTTTCTTTAAACTTTTGATAGCGATAGTGCTGACTTTCCTCTAAGAGTTGACAAACACCATTTTGCCCTATTCTTTGTTTTTTTCAAAAAAATTTTTGGCTAGTCTCACATGTTGTTAATATTTACATTACCGGCAATTTCACATTATAGCGTTTAAGAGTACTTGTGCTTTAAATTATGTCTTGTCAAGTTTCAGAAAAACCCATTTTCTATCCCAACTCAAAATTGCTCATTTTCTGAAACATTCAAATGCTATTTTCTCAAAATAGGCTCCCAATTTTTTCTTCAAACTTTTTGTGTGGATAGTGGTTATTGCACTGTTAATAAGATTTAAAATTAGTTTTTATAAATTCTTTTGCTTTTTAAGGATTACAAAAAAGTCATTTTTTTGAAATATTGTTTTATTATTTTGGAAATATTGCAATATTTTTCACACCATTAATATGCACATTTCTAGCAATTTGTATACATTAGGCATTTGTGAGTGGAAGTACTTCAAGTGACTTCCAATAGTTTTACAAAAAAGTCTAAATATTTCTGTGGAAAAGAGCTTCCAATTTCTCAATTATACTAGAGCTTAAACAATATTTTCTTAAAAACCTCTCCAAATTTTTCAATGTTCTTACAGGACAAGCTTTTACTCTTCTATATTATTCTTAAAGTAATATTGTAGTTTCTACCATTAGGAAACAGAAAAATTGATAGTTTTCAGAAAAATGTATTTCGGGTGGGAATAGGTGGCAAGAGGATGTGGGAAGTCCGAAAAGCTAGCTAAGACCAAAGAAATTAGATAAATAACTAGTACAAAAACGTCTATGCCATTCTGTAGCACCACTAATTTATATTCTCATCCATTATTTGTTTTGCTATCTATCATGACAAACTCTTGGTATAAAACTGCTCTGCAATATAATGGAAGTAATTATTACAAATTGATAAACCAATTTTTATTTTACTTTCAAGTATACTTAACACATTAGGTATGTTTCCAAAATTGGTATACGTTCATCTTATATTAAATGAATAAATAAATATTATTTAGTGGTTATTCTCTTGTGTAGGTTGAGGCGCAGACGTCATTGCCATTGTTGGAACCAATGGAGGAGGTTGCGGAAATTAAGCAGGAAGAAGAGGTAGGTGTAATAATTAGTGACAGTTACATAAAATGATGCA